AATAGAATCGAGTTGGTAAAGAGCGTAGTACAGGATAGGAAAGTGGTCGGAAATAGAATCCATCTCTCAACGGTGGGGCAATTGCTGGAATTACCTGCGAGTGCGTAAGAGACAGGAAAGGCCAGGGGGTGTTTGAGCTTGCTTAGTTCTGTAAGATGATGAAAGAAATAGAAATAGGGCTATTAGAGAAGAAAACTGAGGGAAGTTATGAGGTTGACCGTTGAAAATTCTTAATGTCCAAATTTAAATTATATATGAAGTTCAATCATGGTGGATTAAAACAATATAAAATGATATTTAAACCTTATAAACTGTAGTTAATAATAATAATAATAATGCAGATACTGAATTATGGAATAATTTGACCCATTGAAATTGTGTCTGTTTCAATTACTTTGAGGAGATTAGGCTACGTTGGATCATGTTTTAATTTTTCAATTTTTGTGATGATTCCATTCATTCTTTTGTTGTTTTCTTTTCTTTTCTGTGAAATAATCTTATCTTATTTTTGAAAATCTTAATATATAGTGTTTTTTTTACTTTATGAAATTATTTAAATTCTTTTGCTAATGTAATCTTAGATTTTTTAAATAAAAACTTTACGTATGCAGATGATTTTTTTTTTTTTTTAAATAAGTGATTTTTTATTATTGGAATTGTAAATAAAAGTTCAAACAATATCATGTTCGGAAATGAATCCTAATTTAGGAATATAAAAGGTAAGTCGAATTTATATAAATGTATTTATTTTAATTGGCAAAGCAATATTTCTTCGACGACTTTTGATGAGGATGTAAGCATGCAACCACTAAATTAAAGACTTAGTAAAACAAAAACAATTGAATATTTCCAATTCCCATTCCCATTTGCAATCTAATGTATGGTTCAATGTTCGTTGTCCTATTTCTAGACTTAGAAATTAACAATTTCATTTAATTATTATTTTTTATTTTTATTTTCAATAATTATTTTAGCACAATATTTCACAAAGTAGTACTTAGCTGACGATATTCTATTATCTTGTTGACACGCCTTCAATAGTCGGATAAATGGCTTCAGCTTAATTTTCCACTTTTTTTCTTGTTGATTTTTCTGTTTCTATTTTTTTTTTGTTTTCATGTTTTATTTTTTTCCCCGTTTAGTATTTAGTACTGATATTCTGTCTTTTTTTTTTTTCAAGAGATGAGAACAAAACGTATTAACGTTTTCATTTTTTTTTCAAGTAATCAAATACTTGTTTTCAATGACTTATTTTTAAATAATGATCTCTAATTAAATATGATATATTCATTTCAGAAGTGTAATTTCAAATTTATCTTTATATATTTATAAAATATTAGAGAGATGAAACGGATTGAAAAAATGGGTTTGGAGAAGAAAAACAAAGGGAAATATGGCCGTGGGAGACAAAGTTAGAAAGGGAAATAGTGGAATGATACCACCACCCAAAAAAAAAAAAAAATTATAAGAGAATTTCTTTCAGAATATTTACTACTATTAGGTGATAAAAGTTCTCTATTTGAGTGATAGGTAGGGATGTTCCGTCTCCTACAATCACAGTGTCCTTATTTGTGTAATTTTTAGGCAGTTATATGGATTAAAGCTAGTGTCCAAGAAATGTTGAAAGCTTTAGAAAGGTGAGTATGAGCAGAATCGATTCGAGTGTACCATTGGTTGCAGCGGTTAGCTGTCCTTCGGTGTAACATAATTGGCAATGAGGTAATCGATGACCTTGACCCGAGTGGGTTCGCCCTCGATTGGAAGAGTTGTTTTGAAAATGAGAATGACCTCGTTGGTTGCTAAAGGAAGTAGGGTAACTTCCATGGGTGCGACCGTGATTAGTGACTATGAATGTCATAGAAATAGAGTTAGAAGATTTAAGGGAGCGCTAGAACAACTCAAAATTGGAAGAGGTGTGAGAGCCATTTGGTAGAAAAGTTGAAAAATCAGTGTCCTGTCTATGAAGAAATCAATGCACTTTATCAATGTTTCACAAGCTATTGAACAATGGCTGAACGTCGTCTCCAACACGAGACAAACATCACGTGCAGTGGAGAGACCAACTGAGACGACAATGGCTTCTTCGATGAGAGAGGAGAGTAGAAGTAAAGTCGTTGATCGGTTGCTTTCCATGGAGGTTTCTGGTTCAAAGCGAGGGGGTGAAACTAGAGTTCCATCAACCTAACATGTCTTGGCTCTCAAGGGGAGGGAGAAATTAGCTTTTCCAAAGATTCGGGTTACTAAATCGAAGGGGCTTTGATATCATGAGAATATTTGTTAAAACCACCCCACCTTAAGGCTTTGATATTATGAGAATATTTGTTAAAACTCCCCCATGAAAGTTCTCTATTTACACTCATCTACCGAATTAAATTAACTACAGAAGAATTGAAAAGAGAAATAGATACACAATATTTGCGTATAATAAAATTTCAAATATGATACGGAAGGTTAAATATCCTCTATTATACAAGATATTTACGAAAGGCTAAATATCCTCCATTATACAAGATATTTACAAAAGGCTAAATATCCTCCATTATACAAGATATTTACTTATAATAAAAGGTAAAAGATACATATGATAAACTGTAATGGAAGGTTAAATATCCTCCACCAGACAAGATATTTATGGAAGACTAAATATCCTCCATCATACAAAATATAATATAATACATATGTTGGAAGGTTAAATATCCTCCATCAGACAAGATATTTATGGAAGACTAAATATCCTCTCATACAAGATATAATATGATACATATGGTAAACTGTAATAGAAGATTAAATATCCTCTATTATACAAGATAATTACGAAAGGCTAAATATCCTCCAACATACAAGATTATAATAAAAGTTCAAATATGATACATATAGTATTTCCTTATGATAAGAGGTCAAAGATACATATGGTAAACCATAATGGAAGGTTAAATATCCTCCATCACACAAGATTGTGTGATATTTCAGTTTACTATTTGATTAGATATTATATATTTTCTATATTCTAGAATATAGAAAATATATAATTAAATAAAAAATCAATAATTTATTGGAGCGATGGGAATTCGCATTTTAAACAAAGATATGAAAAAGAAAGGTCAATAAGAGATATTTGCCTATAATAAAAGTCAAATATGATATATTTGGTAAACCTATGCTAAATATTCTTAATTGGATACGATAATATTAAAATTTGTTCAGGGGGAAGAATGTAAATAAGCAAAACTTGCACATCAATGTGATTGGTCTACTTTGATGATGCACGTATACGTATCATTATAAAATGAAAACAAGATCAATAAGTTGAAAAGCTATTCAAGAACAAGTTGAAGATTCAATGACAAACTAAGAGTCCATCCAACAAGATCAATAAGTTGAAAAGCTATTCAAGAACAAGAACAATTATAAGCTCTCTAGCCCTTTAGACATTGAGAAAGTATTATAGGGTAAATTTTAGATGTTGCATCACCCCCACATAAATCAATACGAATACAAATACTAATTTGTGTTCAATTACACATGCTGAGTTAGTGTTACTCATTTTAATGCTTAATAAGCTAATGTATATATTCCAAGAAACTCGTATTTAAACCTATCATGATGTAACCATAACGAATATTATGAATAATCTGAATTAATGTTACAAATTGTTTTGCATATTCATAAGATAAATATGTATATATATTCTAATATGCTCATACGTAAACATAGCATCACGTACTCATGGGTCTTGAAGGAGAAAATATGATAATCAAAGTGTAACTTTGTGATCAAAGTTGAGGTTGGAAATTTGATAGGTCACAAAAATGGAAAATGAAGTCATTAAGTAATCCAAAGTTTGCCAATTATGAAGCTATGGGTTCACAGTTGAAAGAGATTAGGTGATGTTGGAAGCCATTTCTATTCCATGACATAAATTATGAACCTTATCATCTTATCAGAGCACTGATTTATTATTTCATCTAACTCCTACTTTATGTATGGTCCACCAAATAAGTCAAATTTACATTTGTTTTTTCGAACTATTTATGATGTGTTGAAAATAGACAATTAAATTATAATAATATAAATAATAATCATATCCATATCCATCAGCAATGAGAATTAGATCAGCATTATCTGAACATTATCATCACTTTCACTAATCCTAATGCATTATGAAATAAAAAAAACAAAAAGAAACAAAAGATAACAAAATAATTCAAAACACCCATCTTATTTTAAAATGCATTCAGGGCATAATAATTAAAATGTTTTTTTTTATTTACTCATTCAAATATTATACTTGGAAAAATAAATTAATGCCTAAATTAAAATAAAAAGCAAGCATAAAGACAAAAAAAGATATAATGAATAAAAATTTAAAAATATAAAAGTGTGGGTTCATGTGATATGATTGATGGTGTTTCTCACATTTTGGAATAAACTACCCACTCCCAAATTCTTAATTACTCATTCACCTTCAACATCTTTTTCTCTTGCCCTTACAATATTTCTACTTTTATGTTTTTATTTTTTTTTAATAAGTTCAAAAGTATTATAGAAACTTTTCTAAATAATACTTTGGTTAGGTTGATATAAATTCACTTAATTTAACGTTCATAAGTCATTCCCATATATTCTAATAATCATAACCGTAATCTATCAAATATACGCGCCACACATAAATGTGAAGTTTACAACACATATATTCTTGCATCCAAAAGTGTACATGGCCCACGCACATGTTAACTTCCTTTTTCTTAATTAGAACGGAAAATTCTATACTTTTTTAAAAATGAAAATATTGGTGCCGTTGAAAATAGTTTTGTAAATGGCTATTTCGAAGAATGGAATCAATTTCCACCCTATTATTGGAACCTTTTTTGAGTTCAACAGCTAGTGTTGGACCTCATTGCATCATTATAGGGTTTAGGGTTAAATTATTTATTTATTAACTTTTCTTTTTCTTTTACGATCTGGGATTTTATTTCAGATGAAATGAAACATAAATTCCATTTCCAGAGCCTTCCCTTCCACTGGTTCCTATCGGTTTCCCTGTTGGTGACACAACTAGATTCGGTAACCCAGAAGTCTTTATCTTTAATGGTAGGGGTGGGGCCCGTCCTCCTCTTTTTTTTCTTTTTAAAATTTTCCATTCGGTATTAGTTGAACTGATCCTGATCTCAATCTCATCATGGTCCCCCAAATTCATTCTCAGCCATTGTTCCTGCTGTCAACTTTGGATTTTTCCTCCAATTTTCAGTCATGGTATTGATTCAATCTCCTAACACAAACAAATCAAACCCCATCGTAATCGCCACGCCATAGGAGCTTGCAACTTGCTCCTACTACTATCATTATATTACTCCCTATTTGAGGTCTTTAAATTTTGGTGTTATTTTCCCCCAACTTTCCAGACTATGCTCTTGTCCTACTTCATTTATAATGAATGGGAAAGAAGAAAGGTGTACCTGTGATTGGGAAAGAAGATACAGAAAACAGAGCAAACGCCGTCACTGATTGACCTCTGGTTCCGAACAATACCAGATTTTCTTCACATGTACCTGAAATGGAAATATTTATGAACTTCACATGTTAATGATAAAATTCATGTGGTCTTTTGTAACCAGAAAGAAATATGTGTGTGAGAATGAAGGCCTACAGTAATTGAGTAAGAGGATTGGAAGAATCAACGATGGCCTAAAAGGAACCAATACTTATGAACATACATATACATATGGCCTCCAGTGACTGAGTAAGAGGATTGATAGAATCAACAACTGGAAGTTTCTATGTCAGAAGTTATGAACGAACACGCACATACATATTTGAATGATATTATATTAGCTAGGACGGAGATCTTACAGCCAGTTGCTGAAGCGCAGCTGCAGTCCCTAGTCTTCAACTTATAGTTTGATCCAATGTGGTCATCTCTTTAACCCTGCAAAATCAGTTTCGTATTCATTATAATCTATAAATCGTCTATCTGATCAGAGACTAAGGAAATTGTAATCTATCATACAACATTCATAATAGTTTAGAAAAACGAACAGAAAAACTCTTTGAAAGACAATGATGGAAGGAAAGAACAGATAATGATGCCAATTCTACCGGATTGAGAAATAGGTATTGTGCTCAAGCAACAATCAGATTTAAACTATGAACACTCGGAATGCCAACACTGGACATAGAGCTCGGACTCTAACTGGCAGAGAGGACAAACGTGATTGACGGACCTAATGATAATGGAAGCTGTAATGCAAAGTTGGGAAGGGATCCTAATTCAATGACGAAGAAACTCACCGTCACAGTAGCTATGGCTGCAAAACGAAATAGAACCAAATTTCATTGATGGCTAATGGATCAAAAACCAATCCTTAGCGACTTATACAGTCTCCTTACATCATACATCCTTTTTGGTGCTTGAAATTTCCATCTTCTATTTCGTTATATCTTATATTTATGTTTGCTTTGGTTCCGTTCATTCTAGTTGGTGTTATTGCCAGTGATTTCCATTGTGGATAAGGTAGACATGGCTAGGCTTCCCTTGAGGATAATATGAGCAGTGAGGAACCTTGGACGGAGAGTTCTTGAGACGGTACGAAAACCTCACTGGTGTTGGGATCTGGTGGAAGCAATGATCAGGAACCGGCGTCGGGATCCTTGGAGAGGACGCAGCAGTTGTCGGAGACGAAGATTTTGAGGACGACGACGATGATGAAGAGGCCGAGGAGCAAGAGAGAGGACTTTTTTTCACAGATTTAGGCTGTGAAAGGAACGCTCTGATCTTCAAAGAAGACGGCGGCGATGCTGCTCGATCGTATTCCTCAATGAGATTCGCTAGGTCCTCATCGGAGGTTATCGATACCAAAGCATCCAGATCCTCTGAAGGCAATTGACAACGAAGACTCACACATGTTCCACACAACTGTCCCAGCTTCAACAACAGTTCTGTAACCAGACACAATCATAAATCTTACTCTCAAGAAGTTCAAATCAAGGCTTAAATTACACAACGAACTCCGAAATCAACAAATCACAAAACTCAATCACAACATTCGCGATACTAATGAACAGATAATGAAACATAAAGTCGGAAAAGAGACCAATTCTAACCAGAGAAAGTAATGGAGCGATCAACAGCGAGAACACGAGTTTCACCGCCAAGATAACGAAGTTTGCCATCCGGATAACGAGGAAGGATCTTGCCGCCATAACTGCATAGAAACTTAATCGTTGCAGTTCTATCAGATCTGGCGGCGATACCGCCGGCGCTGTGGGAGGCTCCAACCATTTTTCCTCTTCGCTTCTTGGATTTGAAGCCAAAGTTATCAGTCGAATTTGGATTGAAAAAGGAGAGACTAAGAATGTGGAGAAAAGAGACCTAAGAAGAAGATTTGGAGTTGCTTCTCCAAGCCTGGAATTGGAACGCCTTGCCGACTATAAATAGAAGAAATTGCTCCGTCTCGTAATGGCAAAAGCGTAATTAACTGAAATTCCATGGGCCAAATTTCTTCGATTATAGATTTTATTTATTTCTTTTCCGTTAATTGTATTCAATAATCTCTTGTTAAAGATTCCTTCAATCGGGAATATTGTTAAACGTCAACGTCGTTAATGTTAACAGTTATTCTGTTGAATTTGACGGAATACGGTTATGCATAAAATGTCAATTTGACCCAGTTGCTCTCAGTCTACGTGGCATAGCGTGTTATCCAATTTTAACCATTATGTGCCGAAATTATTTATTCCATAATTTAATATTCTCTCCATTAAATAATTTCTTGGTAATTTATTTTTATTAATAAAAAATTTAAAATATATATGTATTTATTAAATATAAATTAAATATCTAACCGAACATCTTTGTGATGCTACAATTATTAAGTCAACAGCATTAGAGGTATTGATTATCGAGATGTTACATCTTTCTAGATCTATCCACACAATTTGGGGTATCGTTTTTCTATACTAAACATAAATTTTTAACTCTTCTGGGAATTCTTTGACCCAAATTTACGACTCGGGGAGTTTTGAAAACAATTTTGAAGTTAAAAAGAGAGGTTTTTGAAGTTCAAGAACGTAGAAATAGAGTAATATAAATGGAATATTGTGACACCAAATTGAAATTTTCACTAGTTATTAGACGAATTTTCGAACCTTTAGAGTTGACGCAGTGAGTTGGAATGTTATATAAAATTTAGGATTTTATATTATGAAAAAGAAAAATTATGTTGAAAAGGGTGGAAGGATATTCGTTGAAGTGCAAATATGATCCACTAAAAGCGGGGTTATGGGGAGAGGCGTGGGGTAGGCCACGATTAGAGTTTGGAGGGGTCATTTTCATGTAATTAGAGGGGGGGGGGGGCATGGGGATCCATTGCCATTTTGCTGGCGCTGCCTGACCGCTGGGATGCGCCTGGGCCCGTTTCCCGGGGCTTTCCTTCTCACCTTAAAACTCGAACCATTCCATTAAGCCTACAACCTAACTCAACTTGAAAATAGAAGGTTGGACGGAGTCGAGCAATCTTTTGGACCCACCAAAAATTACGAGCTGTTTAGGCTGTTGATTCCATCAACGTAAATAGAGTTTACATTCAACCCAACAAAAAAAAATGAAAGATTGGTTGGGTTGAATAAATCTTTTAAACCAACTCGAAATTTTGAATTAATTAGATTGGTAACTCGAGTAATTTGACTAGAGATCACAACCCGATCCAATTTGAAAATAGAAGAAGATTGGATTGGATCGGATCATCAGGTTGTTTTTTTTTTTTTTCTTTAAAAAAGAAATCCACTAAATTAACCTACCTATTAAATTTTTTTATTTTTTCATAATAATTTTAAAAGTAGAGTTTAGTTGTAACCCAATTTTTGAGTTGGTCGGATCTGTCCAAACAAAAATGTCATCCGCGAATTGATTTTAATTTTTTATTTTTCAAAATTCAATCCAACTCAAATCGAAAAAGAAAATCTAACTCAAAATAATCTTTATAGTTTGGATTGTTTAGGCTACTTTAGCTGGATTCTAAGTTATATTAACATCTCTAATTCTTCGTTAACAACTATTTTAATTTTTAATTTTATAAATTAAGATTTTCATTACCATAATTTGGTTAATAAATACATAATTTATAAAAATTTCTCACTCATATTTAACAATTTATTTTAATTAATTTTTCAAAATTTTAATTTGTTAGGTAATGGATAATATTTTGGTTATTTAATTTTAATAAATTTTGTGCATATTAAGTGACAAAATATAAAAGTGACCCTTTAGATAAGGTAGTATGATGTAACGATAAAATGAACCAATAATAATTGGACAAATCAGATTCCAATTACATTATATTTACGTTTATTTATTTATTTGTATTTTTCTGCATAAATAATTCATTTTCCAACTCATCCAATTATTCCCACGTCACTAAAAGCTTAAAAGATAATTCTCCACGTTTACATGTTCTTCTATCCTAATAGGATAATCTCTAATTACTAAATAAAATGGTTTTTTTAATTTAATTTAATTTAAATGAGATAAACATAAAACATTAATTTAAATAATTATATATTATAATACAAGCAAATAAGTGTCAAGCTTGTTGGATGATGAAAGTCTCACATGGCTTAATTTAGGGAATGATCATGAGTTTATAAATGAGAAATACTAACTCCATTGGTACGAGGCCTTTTGGGAAGCACAAAACAAAGTCATGAGAGCTTATGCTCAAAGTGGACAATATCATACCATTGTGGAGAGTCGTGTTCGTCTAACATGGTATCAGAGCCATGCCCTAAACTTAGCCGTGCCAATAGATTGGTAAATCCTCGAATGTCGAACAAAGGACTCCAAAAAGAAAAAAGGAGTCAAGCCTCCTCGAAGGTACGAAGGCAGTAAAAAATGACTAAGATTCCAAAGGAGTCGAGCCTCGATTACGGGGAGACGTGCTTTGTTCGAGTGGAAGTGTTGGATGATTTTTTTGGTTTTTAAATTAACCCGACACAACTATAACAGATTAGGTTGTATAGTCCAAATTATTTTGATCATCGCCCGCGAACGTAAATCTTATATATGTTTTTTCAATTTTTAATATTTTTGGATATTTAAATTTATTGAAATGTTTAAAATGAGAGTAAATAAAAAAAAGAATAAGAATGAGAGTAACAAAAAAGAAGAGGTAGCGTTAGTATTTGCATTTGGGAAAGGGATTGCGTGGTTAAAAAGGGTTGAGCTTTTAAAAAATCTGTTTTACACGTGGCATGGGCCCACCAGAACATTCGATGAATCGGAATGCTGACTCAGTGGTGTCGAGGATGCAACTATTCATCCAAGTCTATGGGTTGGGGGATCGTTTACGCAATGGGTTTGTCGTTTTAGTGTGATTCTCACTGTCGTACGAGATTCCACGCGTCAATGCTGACTAGACGCCTGGATTTTGTTAAAATTACTTTTTTGTTATTTTCAAAATATATTATATATTTTTTAAGGAATTTATCTTTTTGAAATAATTTTGAGTAATTAAAAATATGTTAGTGAAGTAATTTAATTTAGAACTTTTAAAACTACATTGCAACATGACAACTTCAACGACACACACAAAAACATGTCATAGGTTGTATATGAAATCTCGAAACATATCAAAGGGGTACAAGACCCTGATCTAGCCCAAAACTCCATAGCTCCATCATGCGTTGTTTGAAAATTTTAAAGTAGCAGGATGAATATATAAAATATACTCAGTAAGCAACTTACTCGTTGTTCCTAGTTCATTATAAATATATTTTCTTGGTTCTTGGTTCTCGGTCTTATTTGGACCTCCAACTTTCGAAATTTTCTTAAGTTCTCTTGGTTGTCGAGTTAGTTATTTCTACTGGTCTCTTTCATCATCATAGCTCTAGGTTCTTGAGGTACGCCATCGATATTAGCCTCATAGGATTCATGCATGTTAAGGCTCAACCAACTCTAAGGTACAATGTGGAGTCCTACAACTCATGACAAGTTCACTGAACGAAACCTAACTGACAAACTTTTTGATAATCTCCATAGAGCACAAATCATGTCATAAAATCATTTGACAGTTCTATAGCTATTTGAACTCCTGACAATCGAGTCAGATTTATAATTAGAGGCTAGTTGGCAAACTCTTAATTGTCCCCGTATAACCACTAAACTCACCTGCATTAACAAATAAGTCTAAGGACAACCAACTCTAAGGAACAACTGTGGACCCTTGTCGCTCGTGACATACTCACTGTAGAAAAGCTAACTGGCAAACTTCCCAGTAGCCCCCACATGGTACAATCATAAGTCAGTTCTGTAGCTATCTAGACCTTTGATAATCAAGTATGGTTTACGATTAGGGGCTAGTTGGCAAACACTTAATCTTCTCCATATAATCACTAAAATTTCACACATGGAATAGAGACATAACATAGCGACCTAACATGGATACCTAGTCTTGATCTCATATCCAAATCAATTCATAGTTCAATTTGTATGAACATGCATAACATTAAATCATGTATCATTTTCAGCTAATTTCATGCTAAAAAAATGATTTTCATATGACGTGTTTAACATCACACCAAATACATACTTTCAGTTTCGTTCAAATCATGACTCAATAAATTATTTTTTTGATAAATGTGCATCAAAAGGTTCAAAATGTTTCTACATATATCAAATCAACTCATTTCTGCCATCATACTTTCATGCATACTATTAGCACAACTCAATTAAAAGTTCTGAAGTGTCATTGCAGTAGCCCTATAGCATGCGATTATAGTGTTTTATGACGATCAATTTGTACACCGACCATAATGTATTTTTGTAATAACAATAATCATAATAAATAAATAAATGACTTTCATTTTTGGGTTGGTTTGATGGTGCGGTGAGGAATGGGTCCCATGGGGAATAATGTTGGAAGTAGAACATTCAATCATACCGTCATATTTGTTCATGACGTGTTGTCTATAATTGCATGCATGTTCCAAATCTATTTTACTTACTTTCATATTAGTTGCGTTTTTATTATTCTTGTTACGTCAAACCGAAAGTATACGACAGTTCATCAAAATTACGTCTTCATTTGTCATGACTAAATACCTCAAAATGTATTATATGAGAGTGCGACTTGTCGTCAATTCTTTTAACATTCTATGTTATTAAACTCATGTTTATTGCTTATTTGTTTGTTAAAACATTTTCTTAAAAACAGAATTTAATAAATTAAATTTTCTCCATTTAAAATTGTAAATTTAATCTTTTATTTTTTTTTTTTTTAAATTTACAAACATGGCAAATACAAAATAGATTTTTGTGATATAAAATTCAAATTTTATTTTATCAATTAATGGTATAAATACTCGTATATTTATTTCTTTATTTATTTATTTATATATACATATTTATTTATCTATCTAAATATATCCG